CTTTACTACAACTATGTGAAGCTGCTTAGACACAATCTACACTGTACAGCACTGCAGAAATAAACATCAATGTAGAGGGGTGGAGTAGCGAGGAGAGGGGCAGGGCGAGGGGTGGAGCATGTGAGGAGAGGGGCAGGGCGAGGGGTGGAGCATGTGAGGAGAGGGGCAGGGCGAGGGGAGGAGCATGCGAGGAGAGGGGCAGGGAGAGGGGTGGAGCATGCAAGGAGAGGGGCAGGGAGAGGGGTGGAGCATGCGAGGAGAGGGACAGGGCGAGGGGTGGAGCAGGGCGAGGGGTGGAGCATGTGAGGAGAGGGGTGGGGCTATGGGTGGGCAAAAATCTGTGTGGCCTGTGAAATGTTCACTGATATAAAGATATTGATCAAACAACAAACTTCCCAAGAGTCAAACACACTGATCACACACACACCCAGCAGAGAGAGAGAGATGGAGAGACGGAGCGTGTGTGTGTTCAGGTGTTCAGCGTGAGTGTGTGTTAGTTTATTTGAGCAGCGCTCAGCTCTCTCTGTGTGTTTGACGTCTCTGCTCGATGGACTTTACTAATGATTTATTTACAGAGCCGAAAGCAGCAGCAGCACTTACTCACACACACACACACACACACAGCCACAGGAGGGCAGTGATGCCCAGAGCAGTGGGTCAGCGGCTGCAGTGCATGCTGGGAGTCTCGCAGCTGCAGGAAATAACAGAGCAAATGAAGGCCAGAACATGTCAAACACACACTTTAAGAATGAGCAGAGAGAGCGGCACAGCGGACCACACACAGCCAGCAGAGCGCTCGCACCGACACCTCGCCTGTGTGTGTGTGTGTGTGTGTGTGTGTGTGTGTGTGCTGACGGGAATGAGACACAGTTCCTACTGAATTTAGCAGCCAAAGAAGAGCTCTGACTCTCCTGCACACACACACACACACACACACACAGATTACACACCCGGACACTTTTTCTGTGTGGGGCAAAGCCCGGCTTTTTAAACCCCCCGTCTCTCAAAAAGAAACTCCGATATTCACCTCCAAAAGAAACCTCACATACCCACATCATGACCTCTTCATTTAAACAAAACAGCACGCATCACACGCACACAAACACACAGTTTGACTGCAGCATTGAGTCACGTTACAGACAGAAGAGTTTAATTTTTAAAAGCTTAGAGCACACACACACACACACACACACATCCCTGAGCTCATGACAGGGTGAAGGACTCTCTACAGCCCTGAGCAACTGAAGGAAAACACACACACACACAAACACACACACACACACACACTAGTTCGTGATCATGACAAGGTCAGTCCATTACCTTTTGCTGTTTCAGTGCTGAACTCTGACCTTTCTCTTTATCACATCCAGTGAGTGCGGTGAGGGTAGTGGGAGTAGTCATGATATTGTGGGAGAGGCCTGAGGGTAGTGGGAGTGGTCATGATATTGTGGGAGAGGCCTGAGGGTAGTGGGAGTGGTCATGATATTGTGGGGGAGGCCTGAGGGTAGTGGGAGTGGTCATGATATTGTGGGGGAGGCCTGAGGGTAGTGGGAGTGGTCAT